TTAATGAAGCATAAGTAAATGATAAAAACTTCAAAATGATTGCACTGCCTTAAAGCCCTTTGCCCTTTAATAATGTGTGGATGCACCCTGATGTGCTACGCATTCTCCAACGCGCCTAGGCATGCTTCTGATCAGGTGGTCAATGTCCTCCTGTGGTATCTCATTCCAGGCAACCACCAACTCCTCTCGAAGTGCTTCTAGAGTCTGAGGAGGACGTTGCAAATTGAGCAATCTCCTACCCATCATATCACACACGTGCTCAATTGGGGATAAGTCGGGAGATCTTGGTGGCCATGGTAACAATGTGACATCATTATGTTGAAAGAAGTCTATTGTGACTCTTGCAACATGTGGTCGGGCATTATCTTGTTGAAAAGATGGAGCTGCCAGGGTGTGAAGATAGGGTAAAAGATGGGGTTTTAGAACTTCGTGGCTATAACGCTACGCGTTCATGTTACCTCTGATAAAGATTAAAGGTGACCTGGAACCATAAGCTATAGCACCCCAAACCATAACTCCAACAGTGTGATGAACATGTCTTTCAACAAAAAACTGTGAATTCCTCCTTTCACCACGTCGCCTTCTAACCCTGGCACGACCATCGTGCATGCCTAAACAAAATCGAGACTCGTCACTAAAGACAATACTGTTCCATTCCTGATCCCAGAGTGACCGTTGTCTGCACCACTCAAGGCGATTACGTCGGTGTTCTCGAGTTAAAGGGAGGACCCAGTGTAGCCGGTATGAAAACAACCCAAAACTTCTCATTCGTCATTAAACACTTCGCATGCCAATAGGTCTTCCGTGTTCTGCAAACCATTCATTTGCAATGGACCTGGTAGTGGAGAAACGGTCCCTTAAGGCCAATAATCTTAGGCGGCGATCTTCACGGTCTGTTGTTCATGCCTGACAACACCTAACCAAAGTGTCTACACTTCTTTGCACTCTAACTGCAATTGCCCGAAAAGAAAGTCCAGCTTCCCGAAGTCCCACTATACGGCCCCTATCAAACTCACTAAGTTGACGAAATCGTACAGGTCTCCGTACTCTAGGCATCGTAACCGATCGTAAAGGGTGTCAAGTACCAAAATCCGCCAACGTTGATTCTTTACTGCGGCTGAAATATTCATTTCTAGAGCGTTAGTGAATTAAAAAAAAAGCAGTATAAAAACCGGAATGTCCAACTGATAAGGCTGAAAATTTTTTCACTTGTTATTTACAGTAAGATAAATACATTCACCAACTTTTATTAAAATAAAACCATTTAAACTGGGTGTTCGGATTTATATGTCACTTAGTATACTTTGTTTTAAACATCAACAAAACTGTACAAACAAAATGCTTCAATAAGGTACATACTTATCTCATTCGGCAACTTATTCTATAATCTTGGTCTCAGGACACTGGGAAACTTCATACCCTTTAAATGTTTTGCGAAAGCACATACAGATCATACCTTTGTCTAGTGTGAAAATTATACAGAACTTTTCACCGTTTTCTGGCTTATGAAAGCTTGATCTGCGTTGGTAGCCAGACCCCAAAAGCACAATACGTATCTCATCCTGTATTCTATTTATGCGTAATAAAACCAGTTGGTTACAACTGGTTTTCTGTCAAGGTTGTTCGTAAGTGTCTGAAAATGTCTGTGAATTCAACTTAGAAACCAAACAACTTCAATGAGTTTTGAAGCTAAGGAACTCTTCCACATATATGCGCCAACATTTAGTTACTAGCTATACAGGCAAAGAAAATAAGATGATGGCAGTAGAATTTCCGGATAGCGACGAAAGTAATAGAAACTTCTCCAAATGGTTTTTATTTATTTCTGGCTTTCAAAATAAGTTGTATATCAGCGTTACCAACTTTTCTCTTATACAAGGTGCCATGATTGGAATTCCAATGTGACGGTTCGTTTTCTCTTTTATCTCCTCTTATTGCAACCTTGTTCCGGCGAATAGAGACTTGAGGGTGACCTTGACCTTGGCCTTGGCAATGACTCTTCTAGGTCAAGATGATTTTTTCGGATGAACCCCACACTTTTGGACCCCAGTTAAGGATAGAACGAAACATTATATGTTTATCACCTTGTGCGACAATTATTTTCACCTCCAATCCTCGTTCGAATCGAAGTATTCAGTACGGCCATCAAGGTCAAAATAGTACTATATGAACGTAAAATCTCCTTTCCATTAAATTCCGGGATTCCGTTAAGAAAACGTCTTGACCTAAAAGATCAAACTCAAAATAACCGCTGAGCTCTTACTACTTTGCTATTACCGTATATTTTGACATTCCGAAATGTTTGGGTCACCCTGTATACCTTGATGCACTTTAAACTATTCTACCTGGTTTGTTTATATTGTTATATGAAGCAATTTTCACTCTAAACAAGGTAAATTAATCCTTGTCTGTTTTAATAAAAATGTAATCCAACTTCCTTTGATTAAATTTTAATGAAAAATGAGCAGATTTTATCCGTTTCCAATTAACGTAGAGCTAAACGGCAACCGGATACCGGTTTTTTAACTCTACAATAAACAAGGACGTGCTTGTGAAATGTACGGTGACGCTTTGCTGTTTGCTGACTCACCTCTTGAATAAATGGATCACTTCTGAGTGACCCTTTTTCGAATGAAGCATGACTATGACTATGACTATAACTTTGAAATATATATTTTATGAGCTAGAGCCCAAGCGGCTTAATTGAATTTGCCATGAAGTGCCCGGCGCTCAGTTGTTGGTCCAGTCTGGATGAGTGAGCATATACAGGGTGGCGCATTGAAAACGAAACAGCTCACTATGTACTAAATTCCTATTTAAAATAAGTACGAGATTTTTCCTTATCTTTCTTCAAGAAATAACTTTTTTGCCACAAAAAAACGCTCCAATAGCTATTTTCAACAACAAAATGATAAACAAACCATGGGGGTAGTGAAGAAAACCATTTACTTATTAAGTAAATTCTTTTAGACAAATTTCTTCTGAAAGTAGTACAAACTAATCTGATGTACCTATTAAAGTCTACTTTGAGCTTTAAATCAATAAATCTTCAAAACTACTGAAGTGAAGCTCATGTATTTTACATCATTATAAAGGAAATTGGAAGACCTTTAAAATAAGGTATCACTCGACCCCCCTTTCGATTTAACCCTGGAACTGCACACATATTTTTTATCCTATAAACTGTACACTGGGGTCTGAGAAACCCAAGTATTTTTGTTGGATGTTATGTACCCTCATGATTATATTTTTACTTTTTATGTCAAAATACGTCAGATAATTCGTAGAAAAAAACATTTTAATAATATTTTGTTCATTGGGTTCAACGGTAATTGTATTAGAACAAAGAATATTACAAATCAGTATACAATTGCACATTAACTGAAAGTAATCAATAAAAATGCAACAAAAAAAAGTCATTATAGAACATAAAAAAAGTTGGAAAATGAAAATACACCTCAATAAATTTCTTAGCCATGAAACTCAGTTTGTGTCTTCACATTGGCAGCAAAGTTTAGCCCTGGGCTCTAAACAATATGGTTTGTAGCATTTAGAACATCCAAAGCTAGTTTTTCGGTCTTTACCACGTGGACATATTGCACATCTAACCTTTCTTGGCAAATCTGTTGCTGGATGCTGTCTTTGTGGCGCATCCATTCCTAGAATTTCACTAATGCTAAGCCGAAGATATGATCGCAGCGTGGTCACTTGTGCCCGCTCTCGTAAATGTGGCTCAATTAATGAATTACAAGAAACGTTTTACGATTATTTTTAGTATTTTCTTTCCAATCTGGATTCACAAGAGAGAATATAATCATAGCATTAATTCCACTGGCATCCAACATATTGAAAAATATTCTCACGGGCCACCTTCTAGTTTTGCGTGATGTCGCGTAAGAATGACATAACTGGTCAAAACTATCCGTTCCTCCCTTCGCATCATTATATGAATGTATCAGGTTTGGCTTTCCAGTATCAACATTAATGGATGAATCAGGATGCAAAGTGGATAGTAAAAGCACAACTTTATTTCGCTTAGGCGTATACGAAACAAGCGTGTGATCAAAAGCAAAAAGGGACGTGCCAACTGCTTTTCTTCCTAAGAAGCTTGTGGGTATCTCTCTTTTGTTTTTTCGCAGTGATCCTAGGATTGTTAATTTATACTGATACCTCACATAGAGGTATAGAGGTGAACCAGTTGTCTATGGTTATATTACGGTGGGTTCCATGAATTGGTTCTGAGAGTTTCCGAACATAATAAGTAGGTACTGGCTCATTATTCTCTACACTAACTTTTCCCACATATGGAATTGCATTAACCATATAAAAAGTTTTAGAGACGTTCATCATCATTATTTTCATACGATATTTATCGGGTTTACTAGACATGTATATTTTGAATGGACATTTTCCCCGAAAACTGACAAGTTGCTCATCCACTGTGCAATTTTCATAGGGAGTGTAATACGACTTACAGTTTTCAATAAAAATTTCCCAAAGCTGTCGGATATGTGTAAATTTATCTACTAATTTTCTTGCAGCCCTACCATTCTTATCATCGAATCGTAAACAGAGAGCTAGAAACTGAAATCTCTGTTGACACATTGTAGCTCGAAATAATCCGTTTCCGTACTTTATTGACCATAATTCATCTAAATTCGTATTTGATAGTCGAAGGGCCCCTGCTAAATAGAGAAGCCCAATAAAAGCTTTAATCTCTACAAGGTTAGTTGGCTTTTTATAACTTTGTGGCAAGTTTTCAAAACACTTACGCAATATTTCTTGATTTGTGTGTAATACAATTATATCTAATATTTCTTGGTTAAATAATAACTCCCATGCTTCTATTGGAGAGCGAACTAATCTCGCCTGTTGTTTAGGACCGGGCATATGTAAAACAATATTGTCTCTCGTTGTGCGGCCTCTGCGTTCTGGTATTTTGGTACTCCAGCGATGACCGTTTTTGCCCATTATACTAGCAGTGTTCCTGCTCGATATACCAGGATTCTGTAACACAACTTCATCACCATCATCACTCTGTTCATTGTCAGTATCAGACTGTTCACCAAACAAGTCTTCGTCACTATCTGCCTCATCTTCATTTTGCTACACATTGTCGACCTCATCTTGTAACTCACGTTGCGTTAAGGGACGACGATTTTCCCAGTCAGAATTTGCCATAGCTATAAAATACAAAATAAATATTATCAACGTAAACCACGCACTGGGGTCTGCCGTACCCATTCACCGATGTTAGTCAATATTCGGACGGGATAGGTAGCACAAATAACAGCCAACGTCTACGCACTGTCTCTCCTCATTACAGACTGAATTTACACCGAACTATCCAGCCGAACTATTTACGTTTCTTCGAAGCACTTACAAGAGAGGGGATACCTGGGTTTCTCAGACCCCAGTGTGCAGTTCCAGGGTTAAGATTTTAGGGTTGGTGTCAGCCCCGCCCAGGGGGCTGCACGTGTTAACGTAATTTTTTGACAAACTTGTGACCCCAACGAAAACAAAATCGACGGGTCTGAGCGTTTTTCCAAAAAAAAACCTGAGCTGCCAGTAAATTTCTCTGTTTCGTTCCCGGTGCGCCACGCTGCATACTGTCTCGACGTTTGTTATTGATTTCATATTGAAACATTTCTAATTACTATACGCAAAACAAGCCATGTAACGCTGACGTCACCACGAAGCGGTAAGTCGCAGTATTTTTGGATGTCTCTAAATAATCACCTGTTTCTTGTTGTCACATTTGTGCTTTGAAACGTCATAGCAACTACAGATTGAGTAGGACTACATTTTCTGTTCGAATTAAATCGCATTTATGAACATAAAAACCACAAATTTCAAAAGTGACATCAAATATCTGGTATATTTAGGTTTCTGCCTTCACTGCTGCTTTTGGATAAAATTTGAAATTCTCTTATCCCAGCATTTCCATTAGGCTCATCGAAACCCCCAATAAACCGTCTTCCATTATCCGATACTTTACCACAAACAAAAGCAATTCTATATCGATTACATTGAAATATAAGCTCCTTTTTTAGGCAGCCGAGGTGTGGTTTGGAAGCTATCTTGCATTTTATCTCAATCGTTTTTACCGGTTAGTTTTATTTGCGCTTCCTTTTATCGCGATGGTATTTTTAGTCCCATCGACCTAGTTTTTATATGGAAAGCTGATTGATAACTACAGCGCTTAGGTGGTCGAAATTTTCGTGTTACAACATGCGAAAACACCGCATACGTTTGGGAATTTATCCATAATCAAGGTCGCAACTCGATGCCAATTTATTTAAATAATATTTCCGAACGAATTTGTTATATACTAAGTTACATATAAATCCGAACACCCAGTTTAAATGGTTTTATTTTAATAAAATTCTGTATAAGTACTTAATGAAGCATAATAAGTAATAAAAATTTCAAAATGATTGCACTGCTTTAAAGCCCTTTGACCTTTAATAATGTGTGGATGCACCCTGGTGTGCTTGTGCGCCAATTCTTGACCCGTCTATAACTTGGAAGGCAGCGCTCGAATTTAGATCAAGTTCCCGCACAAGGTTACTATTGCATCAAGAACGAATGAGCTTTGTAGTTTTCAGAAATCGGCAAAGACAAGAAAAAAGCTCAAATCTAATTTTTTGACGTTTAAAAAAATGTTGGAGTTAAACATGGAGATCGGGGGTTGCTGGGGGTGGGGAAGGGTATATCTCCATTTTTCGACGCATCATATTCCACTCATCATTAAAAACTTACTTAAGTACCTACAATAGCCGCGTGTCGATACCTTTTTTGACTGATGTTCGTGCGTCGCGGTCAGCAGCGGCTACCGTGCTGCTGTGAGTTGTACACCGTGGAAGCCAATCCACGCGGGATTAGTCATAGCAGCGAAGGTGATTTAATTTTTTGTTATACATCGTAGCTAAACTTTTTCTCTGAAGGGTAAACTAGTGTCAAACGTAATCTTTGACGCACTGATGTCAGCATCGCTTGGGAAAGTACAGAATTAGATTACATGATGCCATTTTTTTTGACTTCTAATGTCAAAAATTAGGTTAAGCTAAAAAAAGGTTTTTAGGAGATTCCTGAATTTTTAGTTTGAATATGGAGGAAAACTCTAAAAAGGATGGAGCTAGTGAGAAAGTGGAGAGTGTGGTCTCACTGAGTGAAAAGGGATTTGTACAGAGGAAGTTTTGAAACTAAAAGATTATACCATTTCGATTCAAGAGAAATTAATAAAAGAATTGTACGAAAAGATAGACCAATTAAACAAAAAAATTGGGAAAATGCAACAGCCGTCACAAGAAGCAATTACAACTTACGCTAATATGGTTAAAGCTTCAGGGCCTTCAACCGTTAATTCGCCTACAAAAATGGTAGAATATAAGCAACAATGCGTACCATTACAAACATGTACAGCAAAAAAACAATCACCAGTATTAAAACCCACAAATACAGTCATTGTTAAGCCTAATAACCAACAAGAGTGTAATAACACAAAGAAAGACATCGCAAAATTTGTGAATCCTACCAGTTTGAAAATTGCTATTGAAAAAGTTTATGAATTGAAAAATGGTGGGGTGAAAATCCAATGTAAAACAAAAGATTATAATGCGAAGCTACATAATGAAATAAAATCAAAAATGTCAGAGACATATACAGTGAAAACTTCAGAGATAAGTAAAAAACCACAAATCAAAGTTATTGGATTTTGTCAAGAATATGCAGAAGACGAACTAATAAATACTATAAAATCACAAAATGAATCTTTTCAAGAAAATTCACATATGAGAGTAATTACAGTCAAGAAAATGAAAACTAAATATCAAGCAATTTTAGAAGTGGATGCTGTGACTTTTAAGTATGTTATGAATCAGGGTGTTATTTTTATCGACATGTCTGTTTGCTCTGTTTTCGAGTACATCAATGTTTTGCGATGCTATAAATGTACCGGATTTAACCACACAGCTAAATACTGCACAAAATCAGGAAGATGTCTTACTTGTGGATTAGAAGGACATTCAACAGAAAACTGTAGTACCAGTGAAATGTACAAATGCTGTCCAAATTGTAAAAGTGCAAACCAGGATTTTAATCTAGGATTACCTATTAATCATGGACCATTTGACAAAAATTGTGAAGTATATAAAAGGAAAATTGAACGTGAGAGGGGAAAAATTAATTATGCAAATGAATAGCAACTACTAAGCTCAGATTTGCAAGACGTGGCTAAATCTGTAAGTGATGAATATAACTCAATATACCATTTAAACATACAAGGAGTCCTGAATAATATAGATGAAGTTCAACAGTTTTTAAGATGGAGAAAACCACTTGTATTATGTCTTACCGAAACACATGCTACAGAAGACATCACTGATGGTGAATTACAAATTACTAATTATAAAACCTACAGATGCAACTCCAACTCCAGACATACTGGAGGTGTAGTGATTTATGTTTACCACAAAATACAGATCAAATTATTCGATTGTACCACTTTAGACTATGCATACTGGTATGCACATATACAGTTCAAATTATTTGGGAAACGTTATGATCTTTGTACTTTTTACCGTTCACCAAACAGTGATGCAGATACATTTTTAACGTTTTTTGAAGAAAAATGCGAAGAAATGTGGAATTTTAGAAACAATATAATACTTTTAGGTGATTTTAATTTAAATTATTATGGTAAAAGCATGAAAACAAGAAAATTGAAAGAATCCATAAACAACTATGGGTTCAAGCAAAAAATTGAAGAGAGTACCAGAATAACATCATTATCAGAGACTTTGTTAGATCTTGTTATTGTAAATTTCGAATGTGCAGGGATTAAAGCTGTACATACACCTAAAGTTAGCGATCACAGTTGGACAATGCTGCCCTTGGTAGGGCATTTTTCTGATACAAAAGTTAAGAAAATCGTAAATACTATTAAGTACGAAAAACTTGAACGAGAACTTGCTGGCTGCTATTGGAATTTTGGTGAGAATATGGAAAAAATATATGACAACATAATAGGAAATATAAAAACTTGTTTAGATCTTGCAACTGATAAAAAAGTGATTTGCTCGACAAAAAATACATCCTGGTATAACAAGAATATTAAGGCAGCTCAAAATTTGAGAGACAAACAATACAATAAATGTATATTCACAAAATCAAATGATGATTGGGAGGTATATAAAACTCTTAGGAATAAATGTGTATATGTAATTAGAGAAGAAAAAAGAAAATTCTACGATAAACAAATCGATAATAACAAGTGCGACAGTGTAAAGATGTGGAAGACTTTAAAAAAACTGATCAATTCGAAGCCGCATGATTGTGTAAATCAAGTTCAATTCGAAAACGGTACCGAAACAAATTCTTTGGTGATTGCAAACAAACTAAATGAATATTTTGTGGAAAGTATTGTTGATATTGTAGGTACTGCCAATGCTGCACCTGACTATATGAAAATCAGTTTCCAGGGGAAAATGTTGCATACACTTTCAAAATTTCACAGCGTATCATTGAATTATCTAAGAAAAAAAGTAAACAGTTTAAAATCAAATAACAACTGTGCCGAAATGACTACTAAAAACGTGCTGAAAAACTGTTTCGAAATTTTGGGATATCCTGTATTAAATTGGATCAATTGTTCACTGAGAAGCAGTTCTTTCCCTGAAAATTTGAAATGCTCTAGAATAACACCAGTTCCCATAATAAAAAATTCTAAAAGATGCAGCGATATGAGACCAGTAAATGTGTTGCCAGACATTGAAAAATTATTAGAGTCCATAGTGCATGACCAATTAATGCAGTTTATAGAAGAAAACAAAATTTTACTGGAGGCGCAAGCAGGCTTTCGAAAAAAATATTCCACAGAAACAGCTTTCCAGTTGGTAACTGAGAATTGGAGAAGAGCCATAGACTCAGAAGAAGTTGTCATAGCAGTATTTTTGGATTTGAAGAGGGCATTTGAAACGATTGATAGAGATATTTTGTTAGGTAAATTGAAGGCATATGGTATAACAGGAAGTGTTTTAGATTGGTTTAAAAATTATTTGTCTAAAAGGATGCAAGTTACAAAAGTTAATGACACATATTTCATCAAAAATTGAAAATACGTTCGGTGTTCCACAGGGCAGTATCCTGGGACCACTTCTTTTTATTTTATACATAAATGATTTACCTGCCATAGTCAAAAAATGCAAAATTCAAATTTTCGCCGATGACACTATGATTTATATAAGTACTAAAAATATTCAGTCTAGTATCTCTTATATAAATGAAGACTTGAAGCTTGTCTTAAAATGGTTAG